GGCTGCCGCATGTTGTGGGCTTGGCCGAGAGCAGGAGATGAATCGCCCCAGCACCGGCTTCTGCACAACACAGCCTTGTCAGAGACAAATTAGTTTTCCCCGTTGCCCAGAGCTGTGCCGTGCCTGGCCAAAGGGAGGGCAGCCTGCTCCCCCTGCAAGCAGCCTGCTGCTAGCGAGCCCGGCGGCTTTTGTGCTGCCCTCAGACGCTTGGACCTGCGCTTGGGGTCTCTACGTTGGCTCAAAGCATGGGTCTTTGTCCCATTCCTGTTTTCTGGTTTGCTCTGGGCGTGCACCTTTCATGCATCTGCCCCAGGTGAGTGGCGAGGCCGTGGCTGTGCTGGCAGAGGGGTGGCGAGCCCTCGCGTTTGGCAGTTGCCCCCAGCTCCTGAGCTGCAGATGCTGAAATTGCTCCTGCCTCAGAGGGTCGATGGTGGCCCAAGGGTGGCGGGTCAGCCTGGGGGTGCTGAGAGCTGTGCCCTGTACGGAAAGGGCTGGAGGAGTGTGTGGTCCCATCCCAGCCTGGAATAAATCAGCCCAGTTTGGTTTTGACAGAAGACACAGGCAGAGCAAGCAGCAAGGTGGCTGGTGGCTGCTGCGCTCGTGGTCTTAAATGCTGGTGCAAGGCCCAAACGCTGGGGAGGTATTTGTGGGCTGGACCACGGTGTGGAAGCAGTAAACTGGTCCTGGTTGTCCTGGCTCTGCTGATGGTGCCTCTCTCCCTCTCGTTTTGGCCTCCAGGATGACATGACCGACTCCCTGCGGGATTACACCAACTTGCCCGAGGCTGCGCCCCTGCTCACCATCCTGGACATGTCGGCCCGGGCCAAGTACGTGATGGATGTGGAGGAGATCACGCCCGAGATTGTGGAAGCCTTTGTCAGCGACTTTCTAGCAGACAAGCTAAAACCTGAGCCCATCTAAGGCTTCTGCACCAACAGACATTATTTAAAACTAGGTCTCTCTTCCGCCGCTCGTGGATTCTCCAGCGTGTCCTCACGCCCGACCCAGTATCCAACCTTCTTGTGGTGCCTTGTTTTACGCAGTGAATCCTTCTCCTAAGCAAACTCCTTGAGATGCACTTTCAGCAGGGAGTCATTGGCGTTTGGAGACATCGCTTGTGCTTCATGGTGATATATTCTCTAATAACCAGGCCAGAACTGTTACTGTATCATTATTTTATACACGGCACTAGCTAGCAGGCAAATCTTTTTGCATGGTGTTCTTCCCAACGTATGCATCAGGCAGTGGATGGGGTTCTTGACGCTCTTTTCTTCTCCTCCTCCCCCATCTTTCCTTTCCTACCACCCCTGCTGACTAAATGACTTTAAGGAAGCAATAAGGAAACTGTCCCTTCACCCTGGCCCGTCCTCTTTTCCTACACGAGTGCCCTGATGAGGCTGAGACAAAGTCTTAACTGCTGACAACCTCTGAAAGACCACAGCGCGGCCGAGCTCTTCCTCCTGCACCAACAGCCTTAGGCAGCGCTGGCTGTGCGTGCCAGGGTCCACCCGCCTGCG